CCCGCGGATCCATTATCAAGAGGAGTCAGTCCAAGAAAAATGGAATCAATGAAAGGTTGGTTTGAGGGTCCTGAATTTCTATATAGCGACGCACCACTAAGGCCATTCAAACCCGAAATTACACTAAAAAACATGCCGGAGGCTCGCTCTACAATTCTAGCTACGCAGGAGGTGAACACGGAGTCTAATACAAGCATCATTCACAAGTATTCTTCAATTACTAAGTTGAAACACATTATAGCCCATTGCTTACGTTTCAAGAACAACGCATTGAATTCAACGAAGCGAACAAACGAGCCACTAACGGTTCAAGAATTGGATGAGGCACTAATCGTAATAGTAAAAATGTGTCAAGCTACCGAGTTCCGCCAAGAACTACATGATCTGCGCAATAAAAGGCAGTTGGATTCTAAGAGCAAATTACTAACGTTGCATCCATTCCTTGACGCTAATGACATAATTCGCGTAGGGGGAAGACTGAAACATGCGCCAATAGAGTACTCTAGAAAACATCCAATTATACTACCCAGCAAACATCATTTGACGGAGTTAATAATTAGAGATACGCATTATAAAAATCTACACGCGGGATCTCAAACGATATTAGCAACTATTCGTAATAATTATTGGATCATATCAGGCAAAAACGCCATACGGCGCGTGTTGAGAAAATGTATAGTTTGCTTCCGTGCGAAACCTATAACAACTACACAATTAATGGGCAACCTACCCGCCGATCGAATTACCCAAGCACGGCCATTTATCAATACCGGCGTAGATTATGCGGGGCCGTTCAGTATAAAAATATCTCGAAATAAAACAGGAAAGGCTTATCTATCCATCTTCATTTGTCTATCAACAAAGGCCGTACATTTCGAACTGGTATCCGACCTAAGTACGACAGCATTTTTAAACGCGATAAAGCGATTTATCGCTCGAAGGGGTAGATGCGTCAACTTATATTCAGACAATAGCACAACCTTCGTCGGTGCCAACAATCAGCTGTTAGAATTAAAAGAATTTCTCGCTAAGGGGGCAACTCAAGGCCGAATACAAGAATATTTAGTAGAGCAATCCATCAATTGGAAGTTCATACCCCCATATTCTCCACACATGGGTGGGCTATGGGAGGCAGCTGTTAAATCCGCGAAAACACACATGAAAAGAGTCATTGGAATGACGATACTTAGTTTCGAAGAACTGTACACTATTTTGGTACAAATAGAAGCACT